TCTTGTTACCTCACCTGGCTCCATCCTCCTGGCAGAGTGGGAAGGTCACTCCTGAGCCTCCTTCAGGTGGAGCCCTCCAGCTTCCTCAGCTGCTCTTCAGAATTATCCATTCCATTCCCCAGCTCCATTGCCCATCTCTGGTCACATTCCAGCACCTCCATCCTCCTGTCAAGAGCTTGATCAGAGTGAGAGAGTCACCCCTGAACCTCCTTTTCTTTAGGTTGAGCCCTCAAACCCCCCTAAGATATCCACACCCTTCCCCAGCTCCATTATCCATCTCTGGTCACATTCCAGCACCTCCATCCTCCTGTCAAGAACTTGATCAGAGTGAGAGAGTCACCCCTGAACCTCCTTTTCTTTAGGTTGAGCCCTCCAGCTCCCTCAGCTGCCCTTCAGAAGTTATCCACACCATTCCACACCTCCATTGCCCATCTCTGGTCGCATTCCACACCTCCATCCTCCTGTCAGAAGTTGATCAGAGTGAGAAGGTCCACTCTGATCCTCCTTTTCTTCAGGTTGAGCCCTCCAGCCCCCCTAGCTGCCCTTCAGAAGTTATCCACACCATTCCCCAGCTCCATTATCCATCTGTGGTCACATTCCTGCACCTCCATCCTCCTGTCAGAAGTTGATCAGAGTGAGAAGGTCCACTCTGATCCTCCTTTTCTTCAGATTGAGCCCTCCAGCTCCCTCAGCTGCTCTTTAGAAGTTATCCACACCATTCCACATCTCCACTGCCCCTCTGGTCACATTCCAGCACCTCCATCCTCCTGTCAAGAACTTGATCAGAGTGAGAGAGTCACCCCTGAGCCTTCTTCAGGTGGAGCCCTCCAGCTCCCTCAGCTGCCTTTCAGAAGTTATCCACACCCTTCCCCAGCTCCATTGTCCATCTCTGGTCACATTCCTGCACCTCCATCCTCCTGTCAGGAGTTAATCAGGGTGAGAAGGTCCACTCTGATCCTCCTTTTCTTCAGATTGAGCCCTCCAGCTTCTTCAGCTGCCCTTCAGAAGTTATCCACACCATTCCACACCTCCATTGCCCCCCTGGTCACATTCCACACCTCCATCCTCCTGTCAAGAACTTGATCAGAGTGAGAGAGTCACCCCTGAGCCTCCTTGTCTTTAGGTTGAGCCCTCCAGCCCCCCTAAGATACCCACACCCTTGCCCAGCTCCATTGTGCATCTCTGGTCACACTCCAGCACCTGCACATCTTTCCTGTCATGGGGGATTAAAGCTGATTAATTCAGCTTCTCTGGGCCTCTGCACTGCCCAGANCCTCTTGCACGTGGCTCAGTTTTTCTGTATAAAGAGATTTGTTATTTTGCCTTTCATTAAAACTTTTCTGTTTCCAGCACTACCACAGAAGCCATTGTGCTGATTTTGTGCCTTCTAAGGTGGCTGAGCTATCTTAAATGTGTATAAATCTCTAAGAGTTTACTAAGACCTAGCTCAGAGAGACCATTCTATCAGTGGAGTTTGGTTTTTTCCCCCTCTTGCACGTGGCTCGGAGCTTTGTTATTTTGCCTTTTATTAAAACCTTTTTGTTCCAACACTACCACAGAAGCCATCCTGGTGATTTTATGCCTTCTGAGGTGGCTAACCCATCTTGGGTGTGAAGGAGCTTGTGAGACCTGGCTCAAGGAGATCCTTGTATCAGTGGAGTTGGGTTTTTCCCCCTCTTGCACGTGGCTCGGAGTTTTGCTATTTTGCCTTTTATTAAAACCTTTTTGTTTCCAACACCACCACAGAAGGCATCCTGGTGATTTTATGCTTTCTGAGGTGGCTGAGCTATCTTGGGTGTGAAATAATTCCCCAAGAGCTTCTGAGACCTGGCTGTATCAGTGGAGTTGGGTTTTTTCCCCCTCTTGCCCGTGGCTCAGTTTTTCTGTATAAAGAGATTTGTTATTTTGCCTTTCATTAAAACTTTTCTGTTTCCAGCATTACCACAGAAGCCATCCTGCTGATTTTATGCCTTCTAAGGTGGCTGAGCTATCTTAAATGTGTATCAATCTCTAAGAGTTTACTAAGACCTAGCTCAGAGAGACCATTCTATCAGTGGAGTTTGGTTTTTTCCCCCTCTTGCACGTGGCTCGGAGCTTTGCTATTTTGCCTTTTATTAAAACCTTTTTGTTTCCAAGACCACCCTAGAAGCCATCCTGCTGATTTTATGCTTTCTAAGGTGGCTGAGCTATCTTGGGTGTGAAATAGATCTCCAAGAGCTTATGAGACCTGGCTCAAGGAGATCCTTATATCAGTGGAGTTGGGTTTTTTCCCCCCTTGCATCTAGCTCAGGTTTTCTCTATAAGGAGCTTTGTTATTTTGCCTTTTATTAAAACCTTTTTGTTTCCAGCACTACCACAGAAGCCATCCTGCTGATTTTATGCTTTCTGAGGTAGCTGAGCTATCTTAAATGGGTGTTAATCTCCAAGAGTTTACTAAGACCTAGCTCAGAGAGACCATTCTATCAGTGGAGTTTGGTTTTTTTCCCCCTCTTGCACGTGGCTCAGAGCTTTGTTATTTTGCCTTTCATTAAAACCTTTCTGTTTCCAGCACTACCAGAGAAGCCATCCTGCTGATTTTATGCTTTCTGAGGTAGCTGAGCTATCTTGGGTGTGAAATAATTCCCCAGGAGCTTCTGAGACCTGGCTCGAGGAGATCCTTGTATCAGTGGAGTTTGGTTTTTTTCCCCCTCTTGCACGTGGCTCGGAGCTTTG